GAGAAAGAGACAGAGAAAGAAGGAGAGAGAGGGAGAGAGATGTAGAGAAATAGATGATAGGGGTAGATAGAAAAAATCAAGAAACAGATTGGAGGGGAGAGAAAGAGAATCTATACAGGTAGTCCTCGACTGGACGATTGAATTGACCCCAAAATTTCTGTTACTAAATGAGACCTTTGTTAAATGAGTTTTGCTCCATTTTATATCCTTTCCTTCCACAGTTCTTAAGTGAACCATGCCATTGTTCAATCAGTCATATTCGGTCGTTGAATGACTCTGGCTCCCCCCTTTGACTTGGCCTGTCAGACAGTCGCAAAAGGGAATCCCATGACCCTGGGGGGACACCATGACCGTCATAACTATGAGTTAGCCACCAAGCGGCCGAAATTTTGTCCACAGGGCTACTGCAACCACGGTCTCAGCATTCCAGATAGCATCCAAAAGTTAAATCAGAGTCCGAGGCAAAGGATTCCTCAAAGTCCCAATTTAATTAAGAGAGCCACGTTGGCACATCTGGGAAAACCCGAATCTGACAGCTTCCCGCTTTTCCCCACCCAGTTGAAAGTTCAAGATCTTGCCATCCCCACACCCACCAGCCCATCCCATGGTCCAATCTCCCACTGCCACGCTGGCAGCTTCCACCCATTCAGTTCCGATCAGGTGCAGAGGTGCAGAGACAAAGGATGACCTTGGCTTTCTAGAAAGAATGTTGTTATGGCTACCTATCATCTAACTCCATACAATCCCCACCTCCCATTTTCCACCATAGAAAATGCATAGCAGAATAATAGAAAGTATGGCAGGTCTGAGATCCTAAAGAAAAGATGGCTGCAGCCCTGACTCCCGGTCCTAAGTGTGGAAAACGGTCATCCGTCCCCTTTTTCTTCAGCGCTGGTCCCTAAACGAATGGTCATAAGCCGAGGACCACCTGTGTGCCCCTTGGGCACCCTGATCTGGGTGTGTGCCATTCCTTGCTCACCCGACCAAGCCTGCCACCCTTTGCGAGGCAGCTGCTGGACGCACAATTTATTCCTCCCAAGGTCACACCCAACAACGTCCTTGCGCAGATTAAGCTGCCTTGTGAAAGGGCCAGGCCCACCTTGTCCAAGGTAGCGGGACCAAGGAGGTTAGCTGGGGCGGCAGAGGGCAGGGCCGACCGCGGCTGGGGCATCCAGGGACACTAGCTTTGCGTTAAGCTGCTGCGCTGGGGCAGCCGAGGCTTCAGCGTGTCTAAGGTTGGTGCAGCCCCACAATGGAGGCACACCAAGAAGCCCCCGAGCCCTTGCAGGTGGTGAGGCCTGCTGGTGGTTGCCTGGCAGAGCCAAAAGGGGACCGATTTGGGGGGTGGGGAGATGAGTGGTGAGGGCAATTGAAGAACAGGCTGGCTTTTATTTTATCAAGGCCGGGGGCTGGGAGGCTCCTTAATTCATGGCCGTGGGTATTTGGGGAGGACCAGTAATGAGGAGGGCCACGGAAGCCTCCCCAATGCCTTTCCACGGATTTAAGCATCCCTTTGCCGCTTTCAATTTTATGCACTGTTTTGTTTTTTGTTTTGCTTTTAACGTTTTATTGTACGTCGCTTTTTGAGAGACATGGGAGGTTCTTAAATTGGATGGATGGATGGATGGATGGGTGGATGGGTGGATAGATATAGATATAGATAGGTAGGTTAGCTTAGGTAGGATGGATGGATGGATGGATGGATAGATACAGTAGATAGATGATAGAGATAGGTAGGTAGGTAGGTAGGTAGGTAGGTAGGTAGGTAGGTAGGTAGGTAGGTAGGTAGNTCTTCCAGGGCCGGGCGGGCATTTGCACCCATTTAGGTCCGGTCAGGGGCAGAGGAGCGGAGACAAAGGATGACCTTGGGCTTCTAGAAAGGAATGTTTTATTTTGACGACAACACATTCTACTCCTTACTATTCCCCCTCCCAATTACCCCAGTAATGAAACAGCATAGTAAAATAATAAAGAGCATGGCAGGCCAAAGATCCTAAAAGGAATGTAACTGCAGGCCTGACAAAGGATTCTGTCCAGTACAAATCAGCCCTCAACCCAATTTATAAGCTGAACTTTGATGTTAAGTTTTAGCTGAAGATGGCAAGCTTGACATCTGAATGAAATGGGTCGTCTTTTGCTCAGCTGAGTGTCTCCTGCTGTCGGAAACAGAGTAGCTTAGCCCCCAATGCAATGTTTCTCAGTCTGAGGCGTTTTAAGACCTGTGAACTTCAACTCCCAGAATTCCCCAGCCAGCATGGTGTCAGGGCTCCAAGTAACACCCCCAATGAAAGAGGACTCTGAGGCTTGAGTTTCCTCAAAAGTTCCATTTTATTAGAGATGTCAGATTGGCGCATCTGGGAAAACCTGAATCTGAAAGTTCCCGGGTTTTCCCCACCCAAGTGAAAGTTCAAATCCCTACCCAGCAGTCCGTCATATGGTCCAATCAGGCACCATCCAAAATTGGAGATATCGCCCAGTAACCTCATGGCAGCTGCAGGGCAAGATGTCCTTAACTCTCTGAGAAAAGAATGTTATTTTCACTATACATCACCCACACACTGTATAATCCCCCCCTCCCATTTCCCCACAGTAGAAAATGTGGCAGGCCTGAAGTCCCAAAGGTAAAAAGATGGCTTCCAAGTCTGACTATTGGTTGACTGAGGAATTCTGGGAGTTGAAGTCCATACATCTTAAAAGTCACCAAGTTTGAAACATTACCCTAATAAATTACCTCAAAGGCAGCTGGCCCACAAAAAGTTGGAGACATCTTCTCCTTTCTGCCTTTACAGCTAAATGGCTGCAGCAGCAGCATCTTGAAGCAAGAAACGATGCGTCCCTCCAGCCGGGTTCCCCTCATGGTCCTGTGCGAAACCCATCGCGCCCGGATGGTGAAGCATCACTGCTGCCCTGGATGTGGCTACTTCTGCACGGCGGTGAGGAACGAAAATCGGCAGGCGTGTGGGGACCTGATAATGGGGTGAGAGGGTCACCATCCACCCTCTGGGGACCTTTGAGGGGCAGAGCGCAGTCCTGTGACTGTCTCTACCTGAATTGCCATTGGTGGCCATTTTGAGCCAAGGCCTCAAGGTCAATTAGAAGAAAGCCTGGCCAGGTGGATCAGGAAAGTGGAGAACACCAGGCTTCAGTTACACGTAGGCCTGGTCATCCTGGAGAATTTGGCTCCTTACTGATGGCACAGGTTGGATTTTCATATCTTCTCTTCCTGAAGATTCAACTCTGTCATTTCTAGCAAGCTTGGTTGTCAATTCCAATGTTGGTTACTATCCAGTAACCACCTAAATGTTGGGAAACTACAATCCCCAGCAGTCTTTGCGAGCTTGGCCAGTGGAGGAATCCTGGGAATTGTTTCTGAGCGCTAATATACACAAGGTGTGGCCAGACCGTCAGATCCCTGATGGCTGTTTTTTCCTTTTTCTCAGGGCACCTTTCTGGAGTGCCACCCGGACTTCCGTGTGGCCCATCGCTTCCACAAGGCCTGCGTTTCCCAGCTCAATGGCATGATCTTCTGTCCACATTGTGGAGAGGACGCTTCGGAGGCGCAAGAAATCACCATAGCCAAGGCGGACACCTCCACGCCTGTCCCCATCCCACCGTCGCATAGCCAAGGCGCTTCCGAATCCACCGGCCGTGCTGACACCACCCAGCCCAGGTGAGTAGGCTGCGTCTGGCAGGGATCCCAATCCCTGGGTTTTCCGAAAATAAGAGGATGTGTATTTTTTAAAAAAATTTACAAATGGAATCTTTTTAATTAATTGCCAAAGGTCTTCTCTAGTATCACTCTCAAGCTGTAAAACGGGTTGGGGAATTATGGCCCCTTTATGACTTGTGGGACTTCAACTCCCAGAATTCCTGAGCTAGCCATGCTGAAGGATTCTGGGAATTGAGTTCCGTGCTGGCTCAAGAATTCTGGGAGTCATAAAGAGGCCATCGTTCCCTACCTCTGCTGTACTCATCCAAAGGACAGAATTGACTGGATCTTTGAAATCTTCCACCTTTGCCACTGTCTGCGGGGAAAGCCATTTCTCCTTTCCTATTTCTAAATCCCATAAAAGAAAAGTTGCACTTCTAAAACTCACAGGCAGCAAAAGAGCCCACTTTGAGCAAAGGCTTAGGAGGATTGATATAAATTTGCCACTCAAAAATCCCTCCATTCCACCGTTCTCCACAAATAACGTACACAAAGTTTTTCAGCCTCACACTTTCCAGTGACATCATGTCAGGCCTCTGAAGTAGGCCAAGTAAAGAAACAGATCCCCAAGACATACTAGAATTCTACCTATCCTGTTTACCTGGAAATAAGATCTCCCTGGATAATAAGCTGTTCTGGCCCCCCTCCATCCGGTAATGAACGCAGACACAGGCTTAGCTGTTTGCCACTCTTTATTCGCAGCAATTATAATCCTGTTGGCTGAAAGCCCAGACA